GCCTGCTGGGAGGGGAAGCGACGGCGTCTCACGGGGAAGGGGCGGGGCCTGGGTGGAGGGCGGGGTCTGAGGGTGGGCGGGGCCTTCAGGGACGACGGAGCGAGCCGTGCCCTTCCGAGTTGTAGTCTGACCACCTCTTCATTAAATGTCCCATTCGTCCCTTCTTGATTTGTTTTTGTTTGTGTCTTACACTCGTTTTATTTCTATTTTTAAAAATCGTGAAAATTTTGATGACAGATTTAGCAAGGCTATGGAAAAGAGCTGGGGGCCGCTTTGGGTTTGCAGACTCCCAACAGGCCTTCTCTGTGAGGGTCTGCGCCAGGGTTCTGTGTGGAGAAAGAAGAGATAAAGTAAGGCACACAGTGCTTAAGGGACATAACTCAAAGTTATGGCACAGGCGGAACATGCAGAGTTTTCATCTTCTCGGATATGTACCGCTGTCAATTCGGACGTGCCAGAGAAGCCAGAAAGTGCTTTCTTTAAGTGAAAAGGTGGGTCCAGTACAACCATATATTTAGGGGGAGAGGGACCACATTCACACAACTTTTATTACAGTATATTGTTACAGTTGTTCTAGTTTACTACTGGTTACCATTAACCTCTTACGGGGCCTAATTCGTACATTAGACTTTATCCTATATCTGTACGTATAGGAGAAAACCTAGTATATATAGGTTCGGTACCATCCTTGGTGTCAGGCATCCACTGCGGGTCTCGGGACATATTTCTCACGGATGAGGGGGGAATCACTGTACTCCACTGAGGGCAGGGATTTTTGTCCACTTTGCTAACGGATTATTTCCAACACCTAGAATGGGGCCCAGCACATGTAAGATGTTTAATAAATGTGTTGGATGAATGAAAGTTTCCCACAGTGAACTTCATATTCTTCTATCACGGAGTAAGTCGGGTGGCCTGGGCACACTAAGCCTTCTGTTTCTGAGAGCTCGTCCTGTGTGCATGGTGCTCTAACTCACTCAGCCTCTCGTTCCCCCTGTGAGGGGGGCTGTGCGTATCACCTCCCGGGAAAACTGAAGCACAAAAGTTTCAAATAGCTCATCCAAAGTACCGTTACGGCTAAGAGCAGAGTGGATGTGAACCCAGCAAGATTCCTTCCCATTTTTAAATTCTGTGATTCTCATTTAGTTTTTTATCGGACTTAAAGAAATAGCAGGGAAAATTTTTAAGAATCCATTTCAATTCAGAAACCCTAAAGAATTGAGAAGGATTGCCGCTTGACCACAGGATCGTTTGTTCTGATCGTAAGTTGAAGACTGGGTTAGAATTCACTTTCTCTTCTCCTGATCCTGGGTACAGAATGTAAATTGAAATGAGGATGAAGCCTTTAAGGTATTTGGAAATGCAACAGCCATGTTTAATTTATCATTATGTTAAGCTTAGAAATAGGTTACCCTTCTAAAGATGAGGCTGAATACATTATCTAGGAATAGCTTTACGAAGTCACATATCGTCTCCTGTAGCTGCTGCAACAAATTACCACAGACCTAGTGACTTAAAAATAACACAAACTTATTATCTTACAGTCGTGGGAGTCAGATGTCTCAGTGGGCTAAACTCAGCTTTTTCTGGAAGCTCTAGGAGAGATTCCGTTTCCTCCCCTTGTCCAGCTCCTGAAGGCAGCCACATCCCTTGGCTCACGGCCCCTTCCTCCGTCAAAGCCAGCAGTGCGGCCTGCTCCGAGCCTTCTTCCATTGTCACAGCTCCTCCCACCACAGCCAGTTCCCCGCTTCGAAGGGCCCGCGTGACCACACTGGACCCCCTGCAGGTTCCGCATCTCGAGGTCCACACCGTCGATCACGTCTGCAAAGTCCCTTTGCCATGGAAGGTAGTATAGTCACAGGTTCTGGGGGGTAGGGCCTGGACATCTTTGAGGCCACTGTTCTGCCCACCACATACCCTCGGCTTGTTTTTCAGAGGATTATTTAAAGTCTTCATTTATGTGAATGGAAAGGGGATGAAATCTCTCACACATCATGGTTCCCGGCTTTTGTTTTAGCGTCGATGCTACTCAAGAGAAAAAAGACTCGAGATGCTGCAGTCAGGTCACTTCTGAGGGGGCACCGTTTGAACTACGGGGCTGAAATGGCACGTGGGGATGAAAAAGTGCACACAACTCTGACAATCAGGAAAAGCAAATTCAAATTACAGCCTCTGGGGACAAAAGAAATAGGAGATGGCCTTCGACCTACAGTTCCTCTCGAGGAATCTAAATGACAATAAAAGCCCTGGGATGCAAATATATGCATTAAGGATGCTAAACACCACGTTGTTCTAGTGCGAAGGCTAACAAAGGCAATAGTCTTTTGGTAGAGGCAGGTTTGAACAAGGTAGGATTCCCTGATGTGGTGGCTGTTACATAAGGCAGATGGTAATGTAGGGAGACACACGGCCCTGTGCTCCCCCAGCCTCTGTCTGAGTGAGGTTATACGGCCAGGCAGCTCTGAGACCTGCTGTCAGCATCAACACAAGAAAACAGGCATCACACAGCCCTAAGCTTGTGCCCCGTTCTGAACTGTTCTAACAATGCTCGTGATACGAATACATGCACATATATATAAACCCCATGTTATGGGTTGAATTGTGTCCCCCAGAAAGATATGTTGGAGTCCTAACCCCCGCCCCACCTGTGAATGGGACGTTATTTGGAAATAGAGTTTTTGCAGACATAATCAAGTTAAGATGAGGCCATGATGGCAGCCCCTCATCTGACATGGGCGGCGTCCTCAGAGGAAGAGGGGAGTAGGACGCAGACGCCCACAAAGCGAAGACAACGAGAGGAGCCCCAGGGAGAATGCTGTGGACGCGGGAGGAAGACTTCGGAGTGATGGGCCGCGAGCCAGCAGCATCAGAAGTGCAGAGAAAAGCCTGGAACCAGCTGTCCCCTGGAGCCTTCGGCGAGAGCGTGGCCCTGCCCACACCTTGGTTTTGCAATCCCAGAACTGCGAGAGAAGGAATTGCTCTTATTTTAAGGCCCCTGGTTTGTGGTATTTGTTATGGCAGCCCTGAGAAACCAAGACGCCTGTAATTACATTATAAATAGCACAGGTATGTTGCACACAGGTGACTACTGTGTCT